GAACCACGGTCCCTGTGCTTTGCTTGGCTTAGCTTGTTCTAAGTAGGTGCTTTAGATCACTGAGCCATCTCACCAGCCCATGCTTGGTCTCTTAAGGCCCTCGTGTCTCTACTGTCTTCTCTTCAGTACTGGAGACTGAACTCAAGGCCTTCACACTGAGCTGCCTCCCCAGCCCGTTTCTGAGACAGTCTCCATAAAGTAGCCAGGCTGAGCTCAAACTTGTGATCTCCCTGCCTCAGCCTCCTAGAGTACTGGATTACAGGAGCGTGCCACCAAGCGTGGCTTGCAACTCTTCTTTACGTGCAAAGACAGAACACAAAACAAGAACACAAGTGCAAGTATTTTGAACACATTATGCAAGGCCCAATATAGTTGAGCAAACTTCTTAAACAGCCAAATAGTAACTACTGCACGTGCAAAGCCCAGGCCTCCATCCCCAGAACTGCAATTAAAAACATTAACGAAACAAAACAAGAAACCACACAGAGATCGGCCCCCCCAGTATACGGCAATCGCTGGTTTAAGATGGAGGTTCTTGATGTGTATTCCACCCGGCCAACAACGGCGCATCCGGCATCTGTGAGAAGGATGAATTCTCACGCCTGCTCTACATCCACTGACTCAGAAACTCGGGAGCAGGCCCAGCAGAGCTTTACAAAGCCCTCTTGGGGATGCTAGTGCCCGCCACACCCTAACCACAGCTCTGAGACTGCTCTTGAGATTTGAAGCAAGAAGGGAAAACATCCTATCTGCCTCCCAGCTTGCCTAGGTTCTCCTCCCCTCTTTGCACCTTATGGACAAGCACCTGCCAGCATCTGACCCCCTCATCCTCCACCCAGGGCCCAAGACTGAAGCGTCTCCCTTTCCACTGTTCCCAGCGCAGAGATGGGACCTCAGGAAAAGGGTCAGCTAGCAGGTCAGACAGCACAGATCTGCTGGGAAAGAGGTTTCATTACCATCTGCCACAAAGAAACTAATCTTAAGAAGAGCTTTGGAGCCAGTCGTGGTGACCCCTGCCTGGAATTGCAGTGCTGAAGGGGCTGAAAGAGAAGTTCAAGACGAGCGTGGACTACAAAGCAACAACCTGTCAAAAAAAAAAGCAGCTTTGCCCGGGATATAACTCAGTAGCACAGAACCTGCCAGGCAAGTGCAAAGTCCTGAGTTTAACTCCCAATATATATAGAAAAAAGGGGGGAGGGGCAGGGAGATGGCTCAGTGGAATAAGCGCTTCCCTGGCAAGCTCAAGGGCCT